TAAATTGCACAAGAACAAAGTGTAACAAAAATAAATGAATCTAACAAGAATTAACACTCAAGAAGTTGTTCTAGAAAATAAGAGAAAGGTTGAAGGTGCTAGGATTAGAGACACTAAAGAAGAGAAGACAAATTGAAAATTTGTCTCTTTTGGTTTTACCCAAAATATTTCTCAGACTTGCTACTTTCACTAAAGAAACAACTAATTAAATCTAAGATGGAAAATTGGATTTGTGAATCCAAGATTCGAGTCAAGAAGAAACCATGATTCGAGTCACAAGGTGTTGTGATTTGAGTAGGTTAAATCCATGATTTAAGTCAATTTACACAGTGCCAAATCTTAGCTTCATGGAAACTTGTGATTCGAGTCATAATAACAACATGATCTGAGTCACATGAGGTTATGATTTGAGTCAAGTTCATTTTGTGATTCGAATCAAATCATCTAGAGGCTAATCCTAATTTTCACGAGGTTCTTAATTTTGATTCACACTTACCACTTGATTCAAATCAAGTCACTTAACATCTTGATCTAAGAGTTATAACTTGTGATTCAAGCAAGATTTGATAAAACGACAAAAAGCAATTTACTAGGCTAAAAGAGGAACATTGTCATGGATTAACTTTCTAATCTTATTGAGTAATGAAGGATATAGTCAAAGAGAATACATTGCAACTCAAATGCGAATGAAATACAAACACGAAAATAGTTGAATGATAGGCAAATTACAAATACGCAAAAAAATTGTAACATATACACTCAAATTTACAAAAACATCAAAACAAATAGAATGATACCATACGATAACGTAACTGTACTTTCAAGTTTATTTAGTGGAAAATCTCTCTTTTGGTTGGGGGATAGGATAGTGTCAAATCTCTCAATTCAATTGCATAAAAGGTTCATGGAATAAATTGTAAAAGCTCAATATTATAGTGAAATCTCAAGAACATTTCTCGGGGACAGGACTAAAATATTTGGCCGAACATGGATAACGCTATGGTGCCAATTCTCTAAATATGTCTAATTTATTTACTCTAATGTTTTATTTAGTTTATGTTATTTCTCTCCCTCTCTCTCTCTCTCTCTCTCTCTCTCTCTCTCTCTCTCTGATTTTGTGAATACTAACACAATTTTCTTCTTAAGTAATAAAACCTTAAAATTAATCACGAATTTTGAATACCATAATTCATCCCCTCTTATGCTTTAAGTTACTTGTCCAATAAACGTGCTATTAAAGGCGTGCAGACCCGATCCCTCATAAGGCCACAAGGTTTCTTTTTTCAGGCCTATCTTCTTGAAATTTTTTAAGTACATGATGACAAGAGCTGCCACCATAAATCAATATTCGAGAAACGTCAAAGTGGCCAATTTTGATCGTTATGACCAATAAGAAGATATCGCTTGGGATTCCTCCAAATTTTTCATTATCCAAAAAACTAAGCATCAGTTTTTTGGGACCCTGGGTTGATGTAATTCTTCCTTTCTTGTTGATGGCCATTAATTATGTGATCTTCCTTTTCACCGTCCCCTTGGATAGGGAGTTTACTCGTGAAGGGCCTCTCATGATGTCCAAAATGTGTTGGCGCTTCCCTTTATGTGCATCTTCTTACTTGTTGCTTTCCTCTTTACTATCGGTCACATCAACTGTCCGGACTTGTTCTTCAGGGAATAATCTTAGTCTCTATACTTAGAAAAATGACCCCTCTTGATCAAGCCCTCGATTGCATCCTTTAACTAGATGCAGTAGTTGGTCGTGTAGTTGTGTCTTTTATGGAAAAGGTAGCATTTTGATTTATCTGCCTGAGAAGACTCCAAAGCTCGGAATGGATTATTTATCTTAACCTTCCAGAACTCGATGTTAGCATATTATTTATAGATTTTCTCTTGGGAGGTGTTGAGGGAAGTGTATTTATCAAACTGATCGCGAGTTTCACACTCACCTTTCTCCCTACATCTATTAGACTCCTTTCCCGATGTCCATCTGGAACCTACATCTACAAGAACTCAATTGTACCCTAGGGCAATGAGCTTCTATTTATAATTAATGAAGGGTCAAGCTCTATTAAATAATTCTTTCAAGTTGTAGGCCTCCTTAAGCCCGAACTTCTCTCAGAAGGCATTATCTTTCCTCAAGCCATTTTTAAAATCCACCACTTAAGGATCTCGTTAGAGAATCCCACTTCTACTACTACTTTTGTAAAACGGTCATTATACGCCTGTAAAATTTCCTTCTTTCTCTTGGAGATTCCACCGAGGGCGGATATTGTTGTAAGTTGCCTCTTTCGGGCAATAGAGCAAGCAGTAAAGTTCTCGCATGAGTCGGTCCGTGAGTTTACGCTTCCACCGGGCATAGATTTGAACCAAAACATAGTTGATTCAGTTAGAGTTAGTGAAAAGAACACTTTGCATCATCATCAACAAAATAGCAATCTTGACGGTTGTCAACATGTTACACATACTCATCCGAATATCCCTTTCTCTTGTAACTATTCAACTTTGGAGGCTTCTCCAACGACTTTGGTATATGGCTATCCAGAATACGAGCACAAAGAGAATGCTTCTTTCGTTCTTTGATCATAGGCTGCTCTAATTATTCTTCCTCTTTCTGAGGGCGGCAGACCTAAGATAGAGTCTGACTTCCCTTGTCTCCTTTAGGATTGGGAGAAGGAGTTTGGCATCTCTGACATCTCTAGTGGCTTAAAGATCTCGGGACTTCTTCTCTGCGACATGTTTCTAGTATGGGGACGACGATATGTTTCCTTTGGGAAAAGACCTCCCGTACTGTGTTACCCATCGAATTTGCATTATGCAAGATTTCTGTGAGGCAGAGTAACCTTTCTTCCATTGTTTGCAAATTATGCTGCCAAACCACGTTGTAAACACTGCTAAGTTGTTTGTTGGTGCCTTGTACGCCGAGGTTGTCTTACAAAAGTTAGAAATTAGATAATGTCTTCGGTATAGGTACCATTGGCGATGTTTGAGGAATGAGCGATGGTCTGCCTTATTGAAATTGTGGAAAAAATCCTAAGAACGAGAGAGATTGAAAGACTCCTTGAGATATTCTAGGATGTATAAGATTTTGATGTGATGGTGGGAATAGAAGATCCACGAGGACTTAGTTAATACCATTTGAGGAGTAGGTGGTAGACCTCTTGGAGCTCAAGTGGCTGCATCTGCCTCATGTTGTGTAGCAGAGCAAGTAGCTTTGAAACCTGCCATTGCTGGTGGATCTGTATGGAGATCTGAGAAGCAATGTTAATCTTTGATTGAGGAGGATCAAGAACAGAGATCTACATTTCAAATTCCTGAAATATGAATTTCTTGGTTGAGAAAGCTTTGGTTCAGTGATTCAAGAGGTAAATGTTCAAACGCGAAAAACACGAGAATCAAATGTTGATTCCCACTGACGACGCCATTATTTTGCGTTGGAATCAGAATTGATCGGTGATCGATGTGCGTAAATTGCAACGATGGACTTGAGCTTCTATGGGTTGTGGAAAAGGGGTTGATATGCAAGGTTAACACTTCAATGCCCAAGTCAGCATGTGAGTAAGATGAAGTAAATGAGATTTGAATCGAATTATATGAAAAATTACGCGCTCTCGCTCTTATATAATTGGGCGATTATAACAACTTCTTAATCTATTAGTGTGAGGTGCGGAGATCCGCCGGATTAATCTTGGATTGATATCACATGCATTCTTGAATAGGGTAGCATTCGTGCTTTGCATGTGACGCGATGGATCGTTCAACTCTCTAAACCATAATTAATGGGCTCTCTAAACGTAATCATTTCTATTTAAAATGAACCAGACACCTCAAAATCATTCCAAAATCAATTCTATATCTTTATATTTTTTTACTCTTCCAAAAACTCTAATATACCATTATTATACTTGAAAAAAAAATTAGGAGATGTATCGTGCAAATAACACATTTTATAATTAATTTTTATTTATTACATTTACATAAATTTTTTAATTTTTTATACAACATTTTCAAAGTTCAATATAAATTAACATATTTGTGAACAATACTTTATTATTATTATAGAAAGAAAAATAAAAGAAAAAAAATTATAACTAATTTAAAATATTACAGAAAAAAGAGAAACATTAATATTTAAAATAATAAATTTATTGGTTACCTGACATGCATAGACAATAAATAGAGAGTAATTACCAAAAAAAAAAAAAATCGCACAAAACCATAACACCTATATTAATATTAGGTCTTAAAATAAATTTGTACTATAACAGTATATTGAACATTAAATTTCGTTAACATTCCTAAACCATAGTATAAATACGAGGAAATGACAGTTGTAAACAACTTGCACTAATTAATTTATACATTCAATTATAATATTAAGAGTAATAATTATTATACTAAGATGAAAAAGGAAAAACTTATTTTGCACCTAAAAAGTTTCATACGAGCACAAATATTCCCTGATATTCCATGATTTCAACTACAACTTTTTGCTTCCACCTATCACCCCCTTTCATTCATTCCACACCTCTCTCGTCATAATTCATTCTTATTTAATATATTATCTCTATTCTAAAATAAACAATTAAATTAACTATTTTAACAAATTAAAAAATTATATAAATACATATTATTATTTTTACTAAAATATCTTTATTATATATTAGTATATTTATTTTTACTATGAATACAAAGTAAAAATATTAAATTAATTAAAACTATAATTATCATAGTATTAAAGAATTGCAAAATATCTTGACCAATTTTTTGTGTGCAAGTAGATAATTTAATTTAGAAAAAAGGAAGAATATTTGGTAATAAAGGAATAGTTTATATTTGCAACTTTTCCTTAATATAAGGATTTGATTTGATTAGTGTATATTGAATTTGGTGTGAGAAAGATATAAGGAAAGTGTGGTTTCGCATGCTCTCTCATTGATTTCAACGCACGTTCATCTCTTTCTTTTTCTTTTCGCCTTAAACAAAGGAAAACAAAAACCATATCAATGGGTGGTTGTGCGTCTAAACCGAAGGTTGCGAAAGAGGGTGAACAGCCTGAACCGGAACAGGAGTATCAACTGTTCAACGAAGACATTGTTGAAACCAAACAAGAACCGCCGTCACAGGAACAGCGTGGTGTTAATGTTAAAAACGTTGACCAAGTTGTTGACGATGATCAAGCAAACACGCGACGGTCTCTTAGCTTGTTGTTCAACAAAGAGGTACGCACTCAATTTTCATATTCTCATCACTTTGTTTGTTCATTGCTATTATTTCTCTATGTTATTTGTGCATGCACCATGGGTTTAAATTGCAGTTGCGGCCGTAGCAGCGTGAATTTTAATTTGGAGGTGTTAAAATACATCTTTGTAAAAGGTTTAATTTTAAGATTTTTCATTACATCATAGTATAATAATAATGAGTAAATTGAGTTTTGAGGTTTTGAAATTTTTTAGTTTCTATGAAAACACTTGAAGAAAATTTGTTAAGCGAAATTGTATGATGTGGTTCATAATTGCGGTTAGATACAATTGCAGCAATATTACAGCTGCAATTGTGGTTGTAGACTTTGATTTAAAACCATGGTGTGGACACCATTTAGTTTTATAATCCTATAAATTAAAGTAACAAAACATAATAATTAAACATAGTTGTTGTCTATGGTACGGACTTTAATTGTTTTTTGGCGAGGTTCTCCTAATTAGTTTTCGAAGATTCTTACAAACATTAAATCATGCACTAAATGCGTAGCAAACAAAGGTGAAACCTCTTTTTGGAGGACTCTGTTTGTTTGGATTCAATTTCATTGGTTTTGTTTAACTGCTATCATTGCTGTCATGCTCTTGTTATAATTAACTAGTGTGTCCCACGGTTTCAAACATGAATGATTGCAAAGTGTGAACAAAAGGTTAGAACAGTGTTTCTAGTGCACGTTTGAATATGATTGTAAGAGGGGTGATTCATTGCTACAACTAGGGCCTTCTTTGAGGGCGGAGCATGCAAGGCGGATTGTCGCATAGGTTCAAAATTTGACAGGTCTCATAAAATATTTGTCAGACTTATTTTGCCACAGGCCTCCAAAAACTTAAACGCCCATGGTTACAAGCCTACAACCAATCTTGAATTCCTATATAGAAAAGAGTTCACACGTGGATTTCCGTCACACGTTTTGCTTACACCAACGTGTGTCGGGAACACGCCGTGAACCCGTTCTAAAATTATACCACCAAAAGCGGTAGAATCCGAAATGCATCTAGTTTTGGTTGTTGAAAAAGTTTGAAATGCTATGAGTTTGAGTTGACTGTGATGGAATTGGATCCTAGACAAATACATGGAGTTAAGCATGAGTAGTAAATGGTGGGTCTCATAGTACATGTAATGTTTGGATTGTAGCTAAAGATGGTTGGAGTGATAAGTTGCATGATTTTGTAGTTTGGAGGGATAGCATAAAGTTTAAAGTGATAAAAAGTTAATGATTCAACTCCTACTAAAGTAGCAACTACTATTTGCAGTTAAAAGAGTTCAACATTAGTCATCACCAATCTAACAAAAAAAATTAGGATGTGGCTAATATTAATGAAACATTAATTTGATATGCATAGTTTTAAAACTTTTTTTATTCTGATGTTCTATGTTGTCATAGAATGAAGATGCACAGGTTACCACAGAAAATGAAAAAACTAAAGATGAGGAAACTGCGAAACATGAAACATTTGAAGACAAGAAAACTTTGGAGGATGCTAAAAGCATCGAGCCAACGGTGAAACACGAATCTCCAAAGAAAGAGGAAAAGCTGTATCAGGAGAGCAAGGTCAATGAGCCAGCTGAAGAACAAGAACCTGCTAAAAGCAACGAGCCAACGGTGAAACACGAATCTCCAAAGAGAGAGGAAAAGCTGTATCAGGAGAGCAAGGTCAATGAGCCAGCTGAAGAACCTGCTAAAAGCAACGAGCCAACGGTGAAACGCGAATCTCCAAAGAAAGAGGAAAAGCTGTATCAGGAGAGCAAGGTCAATGAGCCAGCTGAAGAACAAGAACCTGCAGTGGTTGTTGAGGAAGTATTTTCACTACAGAATCAAAGCACTGATCCAGCTAAAGATAGTGTGAAGAGAGAAATACCAGAAGTGGCTAAGAAAACTTCAGAAGAAACTATAATCATTGAACCAGCAAAAGTAATAGCGGTGGAACAAAATCAAAATACTAATGCAGCTGAGGTAACATCCCTATACCAATTTCTTTGCCTTAAATGCAAAAGGACAGCTGAGGTAACATCCCTATACCAATTTCTTTGCCTTAAATGCAAAAGGCTATTAATTTTAGACGCCGTCTGTGGGAATCGAACCCACGACCACGTGGTTAAAAGCCACGCGCTCTACCAGCTGAGCTAAGACGGCTTGATGCTCTAGTCATGTTTTAATTTGCATTAGGCTTAATTCAACCTATAAAACTGATTTGTAAGGTGAAAGTTACACCGCTTATGAACATATTTTCAATCATATTTCATCCAATATATGTGACTCATTAGATAACAATCCTGGTTTTCATTCATCTCTATGGCTAACTATCACATGTATTATCACCTTGTTCTCTGATTTCTTAGAATGAAGATGCAAAGGTTTCCACAGAAAATGAGAAAACCAAAGCTGAGGAAACTGTGAAACAAGAAACATTTGAAGACAAGAAACTATTGGAGGGTGCTAAAATCAGCGAGCCAACAGTGAAACAAGAATCTCCAAAAACTGTGGAAAAACTATCACAGGAAACCAAAAGCAACGAGGCAGCTACAAAACAAGAACCTCTGGAGGTAGCTAGAATCATCGAGCCAACAGTGAAACAAGAATCTCCAAAAACTGTGGAAAAACTATCACAGGAAACCAAAAGCAACGAGGCAGCTACAAAACAAGAACCTCTGGAGGTTGCTAGAATCATCGAGCCAACAGTGAAACAAGAATCTCCAAAAACTGTGGAAAAACTATCACAGGAAACCAAAAGCAACGGGGCAGCTACAAAACAAGAACCTCTGGAGGTTGCTAGAATCATCGAGCCAACAGTGAAACATGAATCTCCAAAAACTGTGGAAAAACTATCACAGGAAACCAAAAGCAACGAGGCAGCTACAAAACAAGAACCTCTGGAGGTTGCTAGAATCATCGAGCCAACAGTGAAACAAGAATCTCCAAAAACTGTGGAAAAACTATCACAGGAAACCAAAAGCAACGGGGCAGCTACAAAACAAGAACCTCTGGAGGTTGCTAGAATCATCGAGCCAACAGTGAAACAAGAATCTCCAAAAACTGTGGAAAAACTATCACAGGAAACCAAAAGCAACGGGGCAGCTACAAAACAAGAACCTCTGGAGGTTGCTAGAATCATCGAGCCAACAGTGAAACATGAATCTCCAAAAACTGTGGAAAAACTATCACAGGAAACCAAAAGCAACGAGGCAGCTACAAAACAAGAACCTCTGGAGGTTGCTAGAATCATCGAGCCAACAGTGAAACATGAATCTCCAAAGACAGAACTATCTCAGGAAACCAAAATCAATGAACCAGATACAAAACAAGAATCTGCAGTTGTTCCTATTGAGGAAAAACCTACACTGCTAAACCAAATCATTGATTCAGTAGCTGATGTGATTGGGAAGAAAGAAACGCCAGAAGAAGCTAAAATTAATGAACCAGATACAAAACAAGAATCTGCAGTTGTTGCTATTGAGGAAAAACCTACACTGCTAAACCAAATCATTGATTCAGTAGCTGATGTGATTGGGAAGAAAGAAACGCCAGAAGAAGCTAAAATCAATGAACCAGTGGTGCAAGAAATAGCGGAGAAACAAAATCAAAATGATGTTCCACCTAAGGTAACTGCGATAAAGACAGAAACACCAATCGCTGAGAAGGTTTCAGAGAAAACACAAAGCAATAATGAGTTGAATGAACCAATCAAACAAGAAAAATCATCTGAGACTAATCCTATTGAAGCTGAGGTAGTTTCTCCGCTTAATGAGAAAGTAATTGAAGTGCTTTTACCAAATGAAGAACTTGGGGAAAACAAAGCAGTGGAAGGAGCCTCTATCATAGGAGAGAAAAGCTATGTTGATACTTTGGTGGAGCATACGCCAAAGGCTTCTGATGTTGGCAGCGATAAAGTTTCACTCTCTTAATTCAACGGTCTACTCTCGGCTGCAACATGAAGTCTACCTTGCTATGTTATGTGCCATTTCTCAGCTTTATTTGTGTTATTCTTTTTTCTTCTTTCTATTTAGTCATAATTATTTGAAGACTGATCTTTTGTTCTTGTGGAGTTACTTGTATTTTTGGTTTCCTGCTATTGCTTATCAGTATTGATAGGTCAAAATCACCAATGTAAATTGTAATTTTGGTGTGGTTTGCATGTGAGAATTCTTGGGAACTAAAATCTACAAGTTTAAGAATGTTTCTTACATCAATCTCAAAAAACCATTTGATTGTTTAAAGCGAGATTTGTGTATGCAATTGATGATTTAATTATGCTTTATGATTTTGTGCTTTAACATTAAAGCATGCTCATATTAAGTTTAGATGCCTAAAGAAACAATATTATAGCAAAAAATACAATTGACTTTATGTTTCGGGCCGAGATGTTTCTTGGAGATATATCTGTAGCAAAATCTACTATCCATTATGTTTTAGTAGACTGGCGTATAAAAATTGTATAAAACTAACATGACCGTTGTAGGCATTTACAGATGAGGTAGTGATATGATTGATATTGACTCAACAATCGGTCCATCGTATACATCACTTATTTGGTTCGTTCAAACTCGAAGCTTGCTCCATGTCTAAGGAAGCTTTGGGCATTTGCTCTCTGCTCTTTCCCCACAGCACACAGTACAGTCCTAAAACCAAAGCACAACTACCTAAAAGGCTGCTCAAATTTACACAAAAAAAAATCATAAAATTAACTAATCAACTTAAAAACGAGACACAAATAAAGCTTGAAAAGTAGAAGTTATTGACTAATTAATGAAAATACCTTCCCAAACTTATTATCTCTCCCAAGAGAATTGCTGAGGAGAACATAGTCATGATCAAAGCTAGTGGTGTTGACATGGCTAGAAACACTGGTCCTCTCTTCTCTATAACCCATGTTTGTAAGTAATATGTCACACCAGTCACCATAATTCCCTATCATCACAAAAAACTATTGTTATAAGCCATTAATTACTTTATAGAGTACTAATTATACAAGATAATCAATTTTATTAAGATCGAGAATATTACACAATATAACACTGCAACGAGTCTAACATTCCAACCCAATTTCCATTGTTCAAAGTCTCGTTCTACGGCCAATGCTACGGCCAAAGACTGAATTGAAGTTAAAAAACACAGGAGAGTCGTGAGTAGCAGCTTTGAAGGATATCCTTTTATGATAAACGTCTGGTTAAATATCAGCAAAAGTTAGTAAATAACTTAAAGAATATATTTGAATTTTAAGTTGGTGGAAATTAACTGATAGAAATGAATTACTTGTAGAACAAGCCACATTCCCCAAAAGGTATTAGAAAGAAGCATGAGGAAGCAACCCTTGATCCATGATGAGCCAGATAGAAAATGGCCCTGATGTTGTAGTTGGGTTTTATGGTAATTCCCCAAAAAGTGAAAATGACTTAAAAGTTCTAAATGAGGTCCTTTATAAAAAGCAAGAATTGCTGCTCCACCCAAACATGCCACAACACCAGCCAACTTAGCTGCCCCAGCAGCTGTTTTTACTCTCAAAGCTTCAATCCTGAAATGCAAAATCCTATGCTTTAAATCATGCTATATTTTTAGGACGGAAAGTGACAAATTTTTCCATTATATGGACAATCATTCAAAGTATATTCCGCGGCTGCAAAATCTTAGCACAGTCGAATCAAATTTAAAGTAATCCAAAACTTGAAAAGATAAATGTACGATGGAAAGTGACAGAAAAATGAGAAGAGAAAATATCTATGTATGAATGGTAATTGTAGAAAAAGAAGATACAATCCTTCAAACTAATCAAAAAAAGTGACATGACAGAAAGAAAACATGTTAACAAAAGTTAATCACAATCCTTAAAACTACCATATCCACCACTTGTATTGTTAATCTCTATCCAAATACTATTCACTTTTATTTTTCTAAGGTGTATAATGTATATGAATATAGGTAATACCTGAGTAGGAGTGCCAAGAAGAAGGTAATAACTGGAAGACAGTTAGTAGTAGCAGCCGCCAAAGTTGCAGATGTGTTTATCAAAGCAATACCGTATATGTTTAAGCTCAAAGTTATCCTGATAAACAAATTTCATTATATTATAACGAATCACAAACACATATATGCACTATATTTATTTCATGAATCACTAACTACTTTATACATACCCGATGAAAGAAAGGAAGAAGATCTTGCAAAAGGTTTTGAATGGTAAAGGTGGTGCAGTTTTCCTGTATCGAGTTCAATATTAATGAAACGAATGGAATAGTTTAAGTTAATTAATTATGTAGTAATGATCATACCATTCGAAGAAGAGAGCAAAAGGTATTAGGAAAATTGTTGCTGCAGACTGTCTGTAGAAGACGAAGACGGAGTTATTCATGCCATGGTCGAATGCGGCTTTTGACAGAAGAAACATTGCTGCATATATGGCTTGTATGATCATCACAATCATATAAGGATTGTCTCTTTTCATCTTGCTGATTTGTTTTTTTAGTTGTGACACAAAGTTGTTCTAGTGATGAGTGAGTAGTAAGAAGTTGATATAATTAGCTCTATGTGAGTCTGCTATATATACATGCATAGGTTTATGCTACTTTAACTTTACATGTTAGGGGACCATATCTCTACACGATGCTACTTTAATTTTTGTAACAATAAATGTATATCCACATTTTCCTTGTGCAGTGAATGTCTTAAAATTTGTGTTTTATAGCTTTTAAAAGTGATGATTCAAATTGTTTCGGGCCAGTGAGAGGCCCAATAACGGAGATATAATCATTGGTCCGAAGTTATTAGGTGTTGAAGGTACGTCGCACCCACGACCTTGAGACACGCGCTCGACCTACGCCATTGATGGTTATTCATCATTATATATCATGTAATGGTTCTCCACGTTCTACGCTGAGAAACGTGAGACATCTCTAAAAGCCCCTCATATATAAGGTATTTCTCTCGTGATCTACGTCGAGAAGTATGGGGCATTTCTAACAGCCCCTCGTATATAAGGTATTCCTCACGTGATCTGAGATATGTTCTAATCGTAACTTACCCTACTCTTTTGTTATTCACTAGTGACTTGAATGTTGGAGTATTAAGGTACATAGGATTAAGACAACACAAAAATGATTTGAATCATATTTGTTATTTTATAAAACTAAGGTACATAGGATTATGACAACACAAAAAAAAACACAGATTAATACTCTTATGTTGAGTGTTTTTTTGCAAGGTTTTGGGCCTGAGAAATGTTGTGAAATAAGTGTGAGTTGTGTTGAAAATTAAGTATGAGTTTTAAGTCCCACATTGCTTAGAAAAATAGAGGTTAAACACTTTATAAGTAAGAGGACTCATACACCTATCACTTTAAGGTTTTGGGTGAATATGTAGTGTGTCTCTCACTTGTTTGGGTGAAGCGATAAAAATTCAAAAGGAAAAAACACATAAAACAAGAAAATAAATACATTCTTAAGAAATGAGAAAACTCGTCAAGAGTTGTATTTCGTTCTACCCATCATGTACTAAAAAAATATATGGATCAAATGCACGCAACCTAATTCGCTCGTCAATATCATCACGTATCGCTCACAACAGAGCTTATCTTTAATGCAAAGTCGAGAGATCAACTGTATCGTCTCATTGTTGATCTCTCACACAACTCGACAACACGGAGCATTAAGAATCGATACCCACGTGAATATTAGTCCTAAATCTATCTCTAGCATTTAGAATCTAATAGATGTTCATCTTAGATCGAGTTCGAACAGTATATGTCTATAGCAATCCAAACCCGCTTAGTAAAAAATCAAGATCAGCATCGATAAAGAGTTGTAAAAGAGATTTTATACAAAGATCCATAAATATACATACAATCAAGGTAAACTTACATACAAAACCCCAACAGATGAAAAATACATAGAGAGGAAGGAAGAAGAATACAAATCTTACGATCTGTCAACTCCGATTGAAGTGGATTCGACTCTGGATCGTCAAGATGCACCCTCCAATGTTGTTTCTAAGCTAAATCTACTCAAGAATGTGTTTGATGAAGTTGGGGCAAAAAATTCCCAAACAACATACCCTAAAAAATGCTGAAAAATCACTTAAATAGACAAAAATGTGTCCTAGTACTCGCTTAGCGAGTGGCCTAGCGAACAACCTAGCGAACATGCCAGCAAACCATTTCTTGTTTCGACCATAACTCTTGAACCGTAACTCCGTTTTACGCGCGGTCAGAAGTGTTGGAAAGCTTATTCAATGCTCTATAAGATAATGACAAAATATCATTGCTCATTTACCTAAAAAATGAGAAAAAATCAATTAAACTCAATGAAATTTACGCAACACACAATATATGCACTATAATTTAAACTATACAACATATGCACAAAAGTTGAGGTTTATTGGTTGAATCAAGCCAATAAGTGCAAATTATTTACACTCAAAATCAGTACATTTTATCACTTATCAACTCTCCCCAACTTAAACTTGTTTGTCCTCAAACAAGAATCGATCAACTCAAGGAAACAAAAGTAATAAGCAAGCAATCACGATTCAACAAGTTTTGAAAAACAAAAACAAATGTATGGTTCAACACAAAAACGTACATGCAAAGCGAAACATACCACTAAACTATAACGATAACATGAAAACGAAACAACTCCTAAATATAAAACACATGTCAAAAATTCTAAGACAATACCAAATTCAAAAATGAATCACACCTAGCACACACTTCATCGATAGATGAAATAAAAAAATACGAGGGACTTAACTCTCACCCAACAATCAAGTTAACAACAAGTTAAATTATGCAATTATCAAGAAAAAACTCATATTGAACAGTATAAAAGCAAAAATCACAAGGGCTTTAAGGGTTGTAATGTGCCTTGGGTAACAAAAAATTGTTTTTCTCAAGGTAAAAGAACAAAAACTTGCCTAATCAAATGAGAGTGATCATTTCTCACAATCTCAAACACTCATAAATTCTAATCACCTTTTTCTCTTTTCCAAATTGTTACACCATTCCACGCAACTTATTCGCATAACATTATTTCTTTTTTCTTTTTTTTTTTCAATTCTTTTCCTTCTTTTTTTTTCTTTTTCATTTTTTCTTTTCTTTCTTTTTCAAACTTTTTCTTTTTCTCAACCTCTTAGCAACCAACCTCTTCTCCCCAACTTGAATACAACCACACATAGTGACATGAATGCTCCCAAACTTATTAGGCAAGGGTAAAAACTCAAATAACAAGTCATGGTTATAGTTCAAGAAAAAGTATTAGAATCCATACAAAAATGAACTTAACACCAATATGGATTCTAACAAAGGCTCAAAGGGGGTAAGCAAATTCTCACTCACTCACAAGGTAGATTGACTATTTGGTCAAGTGGTTATACTCAAAATCAAACAAAATGCCTTGATCATTTTAGTGCTATCATACAAATTAACACAAATACAAGATTAAACATAATAAAACCAAGTTAAGCAAGAATGTTGGTCTCCTGCATATAGTAAACAATGGAAAGCTCCTCACAAAAGATTTAGTTCTAAAGTGATTCAAAACTGAACAAGTATGGCAAAAGAATGAATGACATAAAAATTGTACAAATGAAAAGTCTCATAATCATGCTATGTTCTAGAAAGCGATAAACGAGTACCTTGCAAAGTACCAACTTTAAACAATATCAAAACCATACATTCGCAAGTTGAAATGATCAAACTTGGAAAATCACAAAATGCATCCTCAAGCTAATAAAAAACAAACTTGAGAGCAAAAACAAACATTATTCTAACAACCTAACAAAATTGAATTAAACTAAATAAACATAAAACTATACAAACTCAAAAATCGTTGGGTTGCCTCCCAACAAGCGCTTGCTTCATGTCTTTACCTCGACACCTTTAGTGTTCTTTGCTAGTAACTTCCTCACATATACGTCGATGCTTTGTCAAAGCGTCAACCTAAAGAAAGTGTCATAACCAAACACTTGAACAAACGTTACGGGAACAAAATATATTCAACACTTGAACAAACATAATCGAAGACAAAAGAAAAACAAGCATATATACAATTATGTGCAAAGCTTAGAAATATAGAAACTAACGCAATGCGACTCAATATCAAAACCAATCCCCGGCAACAGCGCCATTTTGTTGAAGCAGTAAAGCAGCAAGCAAAAATATTATTTTCGGAAGAATTTCCTCCGGGATTTATCGTCTCCACAGGGATCAGTGTGAGGGAAAGAATGTCGTTCGACAATCTCTACGTCTCTAAGCTTGGGTTTGAATGGTTTGGGATAAAAATTCAAAAGGAAAAAACACATAAAACAAGAAAATAAATACATTCTTAAGAAATGAGAAAACTCGTCAGGAGTTGTATTTCGTTCTACCCGTCATGTACAAAAAAAATATATGGATCAAATGCACGCAACCTAATTCGCTCGTCAATATCATCACGTATCGCTCACAGCAGAGCTTATCTCTAACGCAAAGTCGAGAGATCAACCGTATCGTCTCATTGTTGATCTCTCACACAACTCGACAACACGGAGCATTAAGAATCGATACCCACGTGAATATTAGTCTTAAATCTATCTCTAGCATTTAGAATCTAATAGATGTTCATCTTAGATCGAGTTCGAACAGTATATGTCTATAGCAATCCAAACCCGCTTAGTAAAAAATCAAGATCAACATCGATAAAGAGTTGTAAAAGAGATTTTATACAAAGATCCATAAATATACATACAATCAAGGTAAACTTACATACAAAACCCGAACAGATGAAAAATACATAGAGAGGAAGGAAGAAGAATACAAATCTCACGGTCTGTCAACTCCGCTTGAAGTGGATTCGACTCCGGATCGTCAAGATGCACCCTCCAATGTTGTTTCTAAGCTAAATCTACTCAAAAATGTGTTTGATGAAGTTGGGGTAAAAAGTTCCCAAACAACATACCCTAAAAAATGCTGAAAAATCACTTAAATAGACAAAAATGGATCCCAATACTCGCTTAGCGAGTGGCCTAGCGAACTGCTGTTCGCTTAGCGAACAATCTAGCGAACATGACAGCAAACCATTTCTTGTTTCGACCATAACTCATGAACCGTAACTCCGCTTTACGCGCGGTCAGAAGTGTTGGAAAGCTTATTCAATGCTCTATAAGATAATGACAAAATATCATTGCTCATTTACCTAAAAAATGAGAAAAAAATCAATTAAACTCAATGAAATTTACGCGACACACAATATATACACTATAATTTAAACTATACAACATATGCACAAAAGTTGAGGTTTATTGGTTGAATCAAGCCAATAAGTGCCAATTGTTTACACTCAAAATCAGTAAATTTTAGCACTTATCAATGTCTCATTAGTGGTATCAGAGTCTGGTTCAAGTAAGGGATCGACTCTTTGAGTCGAAAGTCTTCCTGACATGGTGACCAGGCGGCATGTTCTGTTTAAGTGCCCA